ATACAGAAAAGTCGTTAGTTGGTGTGTGTGAGACCAACATAACCCACCTGATGGTGAATGATGATGTTTGGATCACGACAAATTGGGCAGGGGTTCCCACATATCTTGTCACCTCTCTAGAGACAGAAGTGCGCTGGTTATTTATCAATCTTAACACAAGTGATCTGTGGTTAAAACAACAACAACAACAACAAAAAACTGAAATATTACAATGCAAGTCTTGCGAGTCTTCTGAGGGGGGATGCCTCCTTTGTGGTTCCTCCTGTAGTCAGCCCACACTGGACTGCTTCCATACCTTTCAATATACTCTGTCAGGGTCAGGAAAAGCAATGAGATCACAAAATGTGGACAGAAGGCAACACGTCTGTCGAGGGACGACACTCACCTTCACTCTCCAGGTAATCCCACGGCCTGTCCTTGTAGCGGGCTAAAGCCTCAGCAGCCTGAGAAGCAGCCTCGTCCTGGAGCGATGCTGCTTTGCAGTACGAGTGTCTGGGATGTGTAAATGGAGACAAAGAAAGACATGTCCTCGCAGGTAGCCTCTGTAGACGGGACTGAAAGCACAAGAAAATGACCTCATCACACCATAAAACATCAAAACGTCCTTTTCATAAATGTAGCCTAAAGCCATTTGAGAAAAACTGTTTAGATTCTAATTCTAAATAACTTGTATATCAACCCCAGTTTAATCAAATTAAGTGTCACTAAGCTGTAAAATGATTTTTTTTTTAAATACCCCCCAGGCAGGAGCAGTGTGATATAGATCTATACTGGAGCACACACCAACTAAAGACCAGCTAAACCACTATCGTGATGAAAAACATATCAATTAGTGTTTTCATTTAATTATTATGCCTCACTTACAAACAAATATCTGATCTCCGTAGGACCAATGTTTATGTGGTAGAAAAACCACAGCACTAACAAAAGCGGTACAACACAACAAGGCAGCATCCAGCAGTTTCCCCGCACCATACATGTAATGTGTTAGTCAGCACATCGTTTTAATGAAATATAATACCTGATACTGACGAACTGAATACGAAGTTAAAGACGACACACGACATAAAAACGTCGCGATGTACTTCATGGAGGTAGCCATTTTCAGATCCTACCCGGGTTAGAGGTAAAAGGTGAAAGGTTAAGTTGCTTCTCAAGTATATAATCTAAATCTAAAT